GCAACAATGAATGAGTGGAAGCCCAAAAATCTCTGTAAATGTTTATGAAAATTAATAAAATATAATTATAGAAAGAAAAAAAAAAGAACCTTCATGAATTGCTGATGGAAATGTAAGATGATGAAACCATTTTGCAAAATAGCTGGCTGTTCCTCAAATGGTTAAAGGTGGAGTTACCATATGACTCAGCAAGGCAACTCCTAGGATATACACCAAAGTAGTGAAAGCATGTATTGACTTAAAATACATGACTGTTCATTGCAGCATAATTTGTAATAGTCAAAATGTGAAAACAACTCAAATGTCCATCAGCTGAAAAATAAGCATCCATTTAACAAAATATTATTCAGTCATTAAACAGAAGTACTGATACATGCTGTAACATGTATGAACCTTGAATATATTGTGCTGAGTGAAAGAGCCAGACACAAAAGATCATCTACTATTTAGATGAAATCAGAATATACCAATCCATAGAGACAAAAAGTCGATCAGTGTTGTGCAGGTCTGGAAAGGAGATCACCTAGAGCATATTCAATATTCTTTATGCTACAATTTAAGGCATCACTTCTTCTTCAGTCTCTCTTCTTAATTTTCCAACTTTCACATGTACATTGAGGCAACTGAAAATATGATGGTTTGAGGCAACAACTATGGCCCTCAAAGTGACATCCTTGTCCTTTGGCACTTTATAAAGGTCCCTGGAAGCAGATTCATTTAATGCAATGTTATTTGAATTCTTGACTTATGTGGACATTCTAGTAAAATGCAATAACTTACACCTTCGATCTTTTCTCCATGTGTCATGATACTGTTTACTGGTCTAATTCTGGGAATTTTTTTTTGCTTTATGTTGAGAGATCATCCATACTAGAAGCTATAACCTTTGATCCTGAAGTGTTTCAAGTCTCATTTTTATCTCAAGATTGCATCATCTTCATATTGCAGGTTGCTGATGAGCCTGTCTCCAATCCTGATGCCAAATTCTTCTTCATACAGTCCAATTTCTTGGATTATTTGCTCAGCATATAGTTACGCAGAAAGGATGCAACCCTGACACTCACCTTTCCTTGTTTCAAACCATGCAGTACTCCCTTGTTTTGTTTGAATGACCATCTCTTGGCCCATATGTAAGTTCTCATGGGCACAACTTAATGTTCTGGAATTCCTGTTCTTCAAAATATTATCTATAATGTGTTATGATCCACACAATAAAATGTCTTGACGTGGCTAGTAAAACAAAGGTAAATATTTTCCTTATATTCACTGTTTTCAGCCAAAATCCATCAGATACCAGCAATTGTCTTAGCTACAGACGGCTGCTCTGACAAGGAAGCAGATGGCCTTTAACCAACAGAAGTTTATTCTGTTACAGTCTAGGGAGCTAGGGGAAGGCCCGCCCTCTGCCAGTTCCTTCAGTCTCTGTGGGGCGGTCACTCCTTGGACATCTCCAGGTGTCCTTGCCTCCCTGATGCTGAGGAGCTTCCTAGAGCCAAGCGCAGAAGGACACCCTCCACTCTGGACAGTCCTTCTTTGGTGATACTCAGTCCCCTCCTGTCAGGTCTCAGGTGTCCCCTTTTCTCTAATAGGACACACCCCAGGGAAACTTCCCTTAGTATGATAAGATTAAGGAATGTTGCAGGCCACCCTTCATCCTCTTCTCAGCAGTTTGGTTTGCCAGATGATGAGGAATCATTAACTTCCATATAGTATCATTACATACATACATTTGACTATGACAGGTTTGGAAGCAGGAGTGGCACCCACTTCTTAAATAACATGCCTCTGGAAACTCTATGAACTTTGATAAATGCTGATAGTTGTAGAGGTGCTTCAGGCCTTTTGTTCATAGAGTCACTATGAGTCATACTCAACTTGAAGGCAATCAACAACAACATACATTTGAAGGGAGGAGATACACAATTCAATCTTTGATGGTAATGTTATCCCTCATTCCTTATTGTTAGGCAATTAAAATAAGAGTCAAGAAACCATAATTGGAGCTTACAGGTTAAACATTATGACAAGTACAAGCTTGTATGAGACTGAGAACAATCTTTGGAGAGAAGAGTAGTGGATAGGGAGGGAATTAGCCTAAAAATAAGACTTGCTTGGAAACACATACTGATCTCTCTCTTCTCTCTCTCTCCTCCCTCTCTCTTTTATTACAGAGGAAGTATGAAGCAGCTGAAATGTTGGTGAGTAATTCTCCAAGAGAATTTCTGAATGCCTGCAGAAAGGCGTGTGCTCTCTCAGGCAAAATGACTCATGGACTGGACTGTAGGGGTCCCATGGGGATGAAGTGACAACCTCCTATAGCTCCCTGGCACCTGAGTCCTTGGATGGGTGGAGGAGGCAGCAAGATGCTTTTAATTTTGCTTTGTCCTGAGAAGTGGGAAGAGCAGAGATAAGCAGGCAGGTGGCCAGTTCCATAAATCCATCTCTTTGGGTGCCTGGCAAGTGAAAAAAAGACATTTCCTTATTGTAATTTGGACTCATATTTAGAAAAGATTTTGAATAATTTATCAATAGAGGCAGCTTGGAAAACCTAATAGAAAGTGAAGGCTATAGCAAGAAAAGCAAGTATTTTAGAGCTAGGTTAATAAAATTACTGTATTGAGAATTTAACTCTAGGCTTCCTGGTGGCTGCAGCAAAAAGAAAAACATTGGGAAATGAATTTTATTGTCTGGTTCAGAAGGAAGTGCCCCATATTAATTTCTTTATTGTCTTATAAGTTTCTAAAATGTGATTTATCAAGAACATAAACATATTAAATGCACACACAAAAGGTACCACTTTCTTTAATAATACTTAAACTTCATTGCTGTCAGATAGACTTCTGATTCACAGTGACACTGTGGGACAGACCAGGGTTGCCTCATAGGGTTTCCAGGGCTGTAGACCCGAGGAGCAGCTGGTGGATTTGAACTGCTGACTCTGTGGTTAGCCACCAACTGCTTACCCACTGTCTCACCAAGTCCCCTTTCCTTAATAATATCAAACTGAAAACTAAACTTACTGCCGTTGGGTTGAATCTGACTCAGAGTGAACCTCAGTGGGTTTTTTTCTTTCTTTTTTTTTTTTATGATGAGAAAAATTTGCATTTAGAATTAGCCAGCTGGACTCAGTTTAGATG